CCTCTGTTCCCCGTTTTCATCTCCAACATGTTCCCTGGTGTCCTTCGTCTCCAACACTTCTCCCTGTTCCTCAATGTCTTCACGTTGCGATCGTCCAACATCAAGCTTCCTCCTCCTCCTCCTCCTCCTGCTTCTCCTGCTCCTCCTCCTCCTCTGTTCTCCGTCTTTGTCTCCAACACTTCTTCTCAATGTCTTTCGTCTCCAACGTGTTGCTTGCTCGTCGATGTCTTCATGCTGCAAGTCGTCCATGCATCCAGCTTTCTCCTCTTCTGCTCTTCTCCTCTTCTCCTCTTCTCCTCTTCTCCTCCTCTCCTCCTTTCCTCCTTTCCTCCTTTCCTCCTCCTCCTCCTCCTCCTCCTCCTCCTACTCTTCCTCCTCCTCCCTCCCTGTGGTGACGATGGGCTTCTCCAGCATTGTTGCTCTTTGCTTGCACGATTCTTTTTGTTCGATATCATGCTTGTTGTTGCTACTTCTCCTCCTCATTCCTCCTCCTCCTCCTCCTCCTCCTCCTCCTCCTCCTCTTCTTCTTCTTCTTCTTCTTCTTCTTCTTCTTCTTCTTCTTCTTCTTCTTCTCCTTCTTCTTCTTCTTCCCCCCCCTCCTCCTCCTCCTCTATCTTCTTCTTCTTCTTCTTCTTCTTCTTCTTCTTCTTCTTCTTTCCCCCTCCTCTCCTCTGCTGCTTCTCCTTCGTCTCCTTCTCTGTTTATTTTCTCCTTCATCCTTGTTGTCTTCTTCAGCTTAGAAAAAAAAAAGAAAAAAAGCTTAGCCGTTTGCTTGAGCGTCCAACTCCCATGAGAGAGGGCGCGTGTTCTATTCTTGGGATCGGCGCGTGGAGGTATTCAATTCAATTCTCCTTCTTCTTCTTCTTCGTTTCCTGATTTTGATTCTTCCTCTTTCGTATTCTTTTTGTTTTGTTGCCCAAGTAGTAACTTTTTTTTTTTTTTTTTAAATAACAACAAAGCCGGGAACCGGGCCCCAAGTAGTAGTACTTCTTTAGAGGCACACGCGACTTTTTTTTTATGTATTATCATTATAGGAATGCGTGTTTGAAACGACCTTAATAAAAGTAGAAAGGTAAATAAATTTATTAAAGAAAAAAAAAAAGCTAGAAAGGTAAAAAAAAATAACATTCATCCAAGTCTATTGGCTGTGGATATGAGAAGACATCGGTTGCCGCGATACTGTCCTGCAAATTTGTAAAAGCCTTTTTTTGAATTATTTTTTTTCGGGAGTTTATAAGCTTTCCCCCTCCCCCCCGCCCCCCCCCCCCGGGGGCCAAGTTCCACTACTAGTAGCAGCGTTGAGCTACCTCAACGCCTGAACGTGGACAGTTTTGCGGAGATGTGCAGAAATGGTGTTGAGTTTCCTGAACTGCACGTCTCCACAAACACGTCCAGCTTCAGGCGTTGAGGTAGCTCAACGCTGCTACTACTGTAGTAGTGGAACTTGGCCCCGGGAGTTTATATAAGCTTGGAGAGTATTGTCCTGCAAATTTGTAAAAGCCTTTTTTTTTTTTCCCAGAGTTTATAAGCTTTTCTTTTTTTTTCTTTTTTTCCCCGGAGTTTATAAGCCTATAAATGAACCTTTCATCTTCTTTATAACCTTTTACAAATTTACCAGCTTATAAACATGTAAGGTTCATTTATATAAGCTCATTAAACTCCGGGAACCCC